CTGCTGCTCCTCGATAACAGTGGAAATCTATATCTCAATGGAATTGAATCGAATTGCATTGAATTACAGGCTTTACAGCCCGATGGCTCTTCAGTGCCTGTGGTGTCCTCAAACGAGAGTATCACCAAACGCATGAGTGGAGTAGTCAATTGAAGAGGTATCTCCTGATGAGAGAGTGTGTGTGTGTGTGTGTGTGTGTGTGTGTGTGTGCGCGTTTTTGTGACAAATGAGGACATAAATTTGTATAATGACAAGGATATGACATAGGTATTACAAGGAGAAGGTGACTTTTCAGGACATTACCCCATGTCTCCACTTTTCATTCAGTGAACTCACTGGCGTAGAGCTCACGGTTTTGAGCCAGTCTCTCCGCCTGCTCGTCGAGATCATCAGTGGAGTTGAAGGCTCGGTAGCGGTCGAAGTTGACACAGGAGGAAAGGTTCATCATCAGTATGGAAAGGGTGGTGATCTGCTCCATGATAAACTTGTTTTTCTCTAAAAGGACTGTCATGTTTGCTGCAGAGAGAGTTTGAAAAACTGTTCAAGCCACTGCAGATTTAGGATAAGACTCTTGTGTATAGGAGCAATGCATCTCTGGCTCTGGCTCATGAGTTGTCAAATGCTCGGCTGTAAAACTCCATTCGGACAGGGATAGTTTTCCCAGAGGAGGTTAGGTAAATTTGTGTCTGACAGACATAAGCTCTATTCTGAGAGTAATTATTTCTCAGGGAGACATGATTTCAGCATTTACAGATGGTTGTCTGTGATTTAATTGCCATGTGAACCATTAATGTCTGTTTTTGCTCCCCATTGCTAACAGTTTATAGACAAACTCCAGGGTCCTGTGGTTATTTAATTAGTTAATCTGAATTTACAAGAAAGAATTAATAGTAAAAACTATTTTTTATATAAAACTATTAATAAATAAATATGTATTTATTCAGTCATAATATTAATACATATACACATTCTTTTAATGTACAGTATTATGGAAGCCACAGTTGTATTACGGTTCCTGCCACAATTGAGAAACAAATATGAATCTTTAAGTTATAAAAATAATGAGAAACTCTATCATAATTATGGGTTAACATGCTACAGTATATTATTTAGAAAAAAATAGTGCTGTCAAACGATTAATCGCGATTAATCGTTTGACAGCACTAGAAAAAGCACATCATTACGACAACATTTCATTAAAATGCAAAACTTTCTCATGGTAATGACTTAGTAACTTGTAATAATGAGAATTTTCTCATAAAAATGACTTTGTTTCACATAAATATTAGAAATGTTCTTGCTATAATAACATCTCCTAATAATGAGAAACTTTCTTGTAATAATAATGCTGCATCCCCATGATGCAAGCATTGCATGTACTGTTACTTACAGAATTGGTTGAGAGTTGCACTCATTTGTGCAACATCAATGCCAGTCTGAGTCTGAATGAAGTTTTGGACGAAAGGATTGCTCAGAGAATTCTGTGAAGAGAGAGAGTTTGATAAGAGAGCACTTAATGCAGTAGAGGGGGAAAAAATAAATAAATCAAATAAAAAGTGTTTATTTAATTTTCTCTTGACTGAATACCTGAAGTATTGGCAAGGTTTTTGTCAGGATGTTGGCAGACTGCATCACATATGACGATGACTCTATCCACTCGGACGCATAAAGCTTTAGATCACCAAACTGGTGCAGTGTAGAATTTGACTGCAAGAAAGAAGGAAATGTTTTGTTACCAAAAAAAAAAAAAAAAATGTTACAAGAAAACACTACCCGTCAATATCTTAAAAGGAGAATCGATATGACTATAGATGTGGGTCAGAAGTCCAGATTTATGCTGCAGTCTATCCCAAGTCAGAAGCGGGATATTCCTATATACTTTATCTTTGCAGGTATCTGATTCTCTGCAAATACGTCTCCTAGCAACTGTGGAGAATAAATGACGTTGTACAATGTTAACTGTACAATTACCAACAGAGAAGGTCATTTATTATGTTTTACACACCTGCCTCTGTAGGAACTTTTGCTTGATTAAAGTAAACTACACTTTTCCCTTGGTGTTGCCATGTTTGATTTCATACGTTCATCAGTTTTTTTTCCAAGGCAGAAAATTGGAAATTCAAACTTTTGAAATAAGAACGTAACACATATGTAAAAGTGGCCCAAACTGGATCCAATTACACATTTTTGCTTTTTACATGCATGCAAAAATGATCTCTTTGTCAAAAATCAGCGAAAGTGTAAATGTGGCCTACATGCTAAATATTTATTCGTAAGATGTTTTAAACCAGCACCTTTCTCATAAGCTCTCTCGTCACTGGTGTGTCTGGTGAGTACAGGACCTGTCCTAACAGCATGGGTTTGAGGAAGGCCCAGGCCACCGCGCCACCTGTAGTGTTCACCATATCCAAGTAGAGGTTCATACAGAAGGGACCTGGACATAAGCAGTATATTAATTAAGCCTGACCACAGCACTTCATCAAACTGAACTCAATATGCTGTAAGCAGATTCTTGACAGGTCATTATCATAATGCTTTAGTGCACATTTAGCTGTGTGCTCAGAATATGCGTTCATACTAGCATCGGGTGGGATTTTGAACTTCTTAATCAGCTCTTCTCTTTTGTGGTCCGTCTGGACAGAAGGATCAGTCTCCGTTACGATAGGAACTTTTGCGATGGCGAACAGCGTCAGGATGCCGTTTTTGCATAAGGCACGAGCAATGGTACTAAAGGTGGCCCTGCTAGACATGGTGGACCGCTTTCCCCTCACCAGCTGTGGGAAGGAGAATACAAAGACAGGTTTTATTTAAAAATAAAATAAAATAAAATAAAATAAAATAAAATAAAACTTACATTGTGGAACTCTTGGTCGGCCACCAGGTTTAGTTCTCCAATGTTTGTCAGGTATTCCTGCAGTTTGTTAAGGGCAGGTACCAGTTTGTGCATCATGTCCGTCAAAAACTTGATCATCTCTAGCATGATTGCCACCAAATCCTGAATTTCTTTGGACAACACCAGCTGCAACAAAATGTCCCAAGGTTACGACAGACAGCAGCAATGTAATGTATATTGCATAATATAGTTATTTGTTCTGGAACTTGAACAGAAAATGGTTTATATACATTAAAAATATAAAAGTGGCAATGTCTATGGCTCGATAATCCAGTCAATTACACACTTAAACACTTTTGAATTAAATAATTAAAAAATATATATTATTTTCTCTCTTTACTTTAAACTTAATGGAAGCAAACCAAAGATTATAATAGATGGTTTTTCATTACAAACAAACGGTACAGCAAAATCTTGAATGGCTAACAGTGAGCTCAGGCTGCCCCAGCCCCAATCTAACCGTAAATGAGAAAAATCCATAATAATAAATGCATAAAAAGCAAGCATTATTATTTATTTCATTGTAACTATATGCAAAACTTTTCTTGTATTTAATTTCACTGGATGTACAATATATACAATACATTCTGTGCCCAGCTCTTTACCCTGAATAAAGCCGCCTTCGTGTCCACATGGCGAAGAAAGAGAACCGTGATGCTGTACCATTCACGTGACAGTTCACAGAAGGTGCTGAAGATCTCCTGCCCTGCAGGGTCCAGTTGCAAAGACGAGGGGTCCGAGCACTGGTGCAGGTTTGCCAACCATGCCAAGATCTGTGAAGAGGAGAGAGATGACAAACAAAACACATTACAATAAATTTGCACTCTACAAGACTTCACACTGGTGAGAGACAGAGATATTTGTTACTAAAGCGTATTGCACTCAACACTCTGTGAGCAAGCAAAAGACAACAATGGCAATGAAAATGCTCAAAGTTGTTTAGGTAGGATGGGGGGAAAATCCTTGGGAGGAACCAAGACTCAGCAAGGGGAGCCCATCTACCTCAGAATACAGTGTGATTCAATTTATTTTCATTTCTGTCTCACACTGTGTGAAGCCATGATTTTTGGACACATCTTTTGAGCCCCTCTGATGTATGCATGAGTTGTGGTGTACCTGCATGTTGCTGCTGGGTAGAGGGTAATCTAATAGAGCCTGAAGAATGTGAGGGGGAAAGTTGGTATACCGCTCGACATCCTGAACAAACAGAGTGGTATTTTTCAGCAGCTCTGAAACTTTCACTTCAGCTGTCAAAACGCAAGTCAAAAGACAAGTGAGAGAGCAGACATGCACCATGACAAGGTTGAAAAAGACTGATTGGACCACCATCTGATAGCTAAGGAACACTTGTGTTTCCGCAGTACTTTTGATAGAGGCGACAGCGGTACGTACCTGGAGATGAAATATTGATATTAAGATTTTTCAGAGTTGAGACGTTGAAGCCCACAATTTGAGAGAGAGTTGATGTCCTTTATAAAAAAGAAAGAGAGAGAATAGACAGAGATTAAAACCATGAGTAGTATTCCTAGACAAACTGTTTGAAATGTTTTACCATTATTTATATAAATATAAATATGTATATATTTATCTACATATTATTTATTTAAAATGTATTTATATATATATATATATATATATATATATATACACACACAATATTATGACAATACAAGTATTGTCATAAATATAATAATAATACATTAAATGGAAAACAGTGATAAACAGTTACATTTAATTTCATTATTATATTTTGTAAATGTATTTGAATTAAAAAAACTTAAACACCTGATGAATTTTTTGATGAAGATGAAGAAGTGGAGAAAAAAAATGAATTTAATACACTGCACCATTGTTTTTTATGCAAATAAAAAAATAGCTCAACTTAAATATAAGTAGCACAGCAACTTTTAGTAAGTTACTCCCCAACACTACTGAACATACATAGTACATTAGGGGGGAGTCGTGGCCTAATGGTTAGAGAGTCGGACTCGTAACCCAACGGTTGCGGGGTCGAGTCTCGTACCGGCAGGGATTGTAGGTGGGGGGAGTGAATGTACAGCGCTCTCTCCCACCTTCAATACCACGACTGAGGTGCCCTTGAGCAAGGCACCGAACCCCCAGCTGCTCCCCGGGCGCCGCAGCATAAATGGCAGCCCACTGCTCCGGGTGTGTGTTCACGGTGTGTGTGTGTTCACTGCTGTGTGTGTGTACTTAGGATGGGATAAATGCAGAGCACTAATTCCTAGTATGGGTAACCATACTTGGCCACATGTCACGTCACTCTCGTACAAGCTACAACAACAAGGTTGAAGGTCATTATAGAAAGCAGTACCAGTCCACTTCAGTGTTGTAAGTGTTAGGGTCTCCAATGAATGTCTGGAAAATCAGATCATAGATGTCGGTGGTTTGGTTCACCAGGTTGGTTGTGAGCACATGGAAGGCCTGAACTGCGGGAACAACAGTGTCGCATAGCACTCTGGGACCCAGAGGCAGAACCTGGGTGATCAGCTGCACAGAAGCCATGTTTTCCAGAGCACACACCTACGTTATCATGAAAGAAGTTGGCTTCAGAATACTTGAAATATAGGCCTAATAATTTGTCATTTTCTATTCTCTTTACAACTTGGAATGAGCATAGCAATAATAACAAGATGGTAATTCTTGCTGGCATATGCTTTTTAAAAAATCACTTTTTTGTGTCTAAACCATCAAAAATCTCACCTTAGTTAACAGGTGGTCCAGTATCATGCCCGAACTCTCATTTGCCCAGTTGGCTGAGCCTAATTCAAAAGCGGTGTTTAGCACTTGCAGTAGAAGATGCAGATTTTCTGCAGAGAGGCAAGAGAAATGGAAGAGGGAAAACAAAGATCAAGCTTTTGCAGAGCTAAAGTAACTTAAATTCCCTACAGGCATCATTACTTGCACCTAACTCCACTTTCAGGCCAACCTCACAGTGCAGCAAGCAGCAAATGATCTAGCAAAAAATCCCCCCTTAGAAAAGAGACATTGAAAGCTTTATGGTGCTCTGTGCTGATTTAGATCTGACAGCTCTTACGTGTGCAACACCTTAAGCAATATAAAAGATCAGACAGCTATGAGGGAAATTAAATGCTCAACAAGACATCAGCTTTATTAAAGAAAATATAAAGCAAACTGAGAGGCTTGAAAAGCAGCTTATCAATTTAAATGAGGGAGTGCTGCAGACAAAGAAATTGGGGAATAAAAACTGTGGATCTCCAGAGGGAAAAAAATGGTGCACTCTGGAGCACAGGCATGATGATATGTTTTAAAGTTAACTCTTGAAAAGGATAGTTCATCTAGAAATGAAAATTATTCACTCGAAGTATACTTTTGTCTTGTTATCTTGTTTCAGAAAAGAAAGTAATATTTGACACTTGTTTTCAGACCATACATTATCTCTTAATTAGGTTTATTATTTTATCCCAATGTTAAATTATTTTCTTGCTTAAAGCACAAACATCACTAAATTTAGTAAAATCTATGCCTAAAACAAAAACTATTTGAATACATTTAAGGATTTATAGTAAAATAATACTTGCATACAGGTTTGGAATGACACAAGAAAGAGTAAATAATGACCTTTACATTTTTGGGGTGAACTACTCGTTTAAATAGACTGGGCTGATAATATAAAAGAGAGTATGGGGTAGGAAAAAGAAACATTTGCTATTTTAAAGAGCACAGGCACTGTAAAAGGCTTTCTCATACTCAGTCTGGCCACATGCCTCCTGGCTGAATATTGCAGAAAGCAGACTTCAAACCTGCCATTTACTGCACTGCTATGAAAAGCACCAAATCTTTGCAATGTCAGAAACATAAAGCAACATACTTTGTTTAATGTCTGTGGGGATTACTAAGAGTAATTTATTTTGAGGGAGAACCTGGAGTCTGCGACATTTACTGTGCACATGCATCTTGTTCTTGAGCTAAATAAATGTAAATTATGCAAAGAAATAATTATGTATTCACATGGCTGAATGCAAAATACTTATACACGCTATATGCAACTGTGGGAACAAAAGATCGTGGAAATAAAACCCCTGAATGAACAGTGTTATAGGTCAGTAGATCTTGCAAGATGATTTATGTACCTTGGGATTCGTTGGCCAGACTTCTCATGATGGACTTAATAAGAGAAGAATATGGCAGGTCTTCTGGAAGGCTATTAGCGAGGTTTGTCAACAGCACAGGCAGCCTATGTAAACAGAGAAAAGTTTAATTAACTAACAAAAAGTTGCTCTTTCCGCTGGGTTAGCTTAATCATAATGTACTACTATGGATTATGATCATTTATTTTCATGACCCCAAGACTGTGTTCTTTTCAGAGTCATAAACTATGTTTCTCTGAAGAAGTAAGCTATTATGCAGGGTAAATGCCATGGTGGCTGAAATTATGAGAGCGAAGTAATAGCCATGCATTGAACAAGAAAAAGAAATGAAAAACTGGGCCTAGTTATGAGCTTATAACCAGGAACCAGCCTTGGGAGCACAACCTCAAAGAAACTCACTTGTCGGTCCAGTTAGTGTCATTCATCCCCAGCAGATGGCCGATATTCATGCTAGAAGCCCCCAGCACTATTTTGGCGAGTTCAGACTCCACATTGCTGCTATTGTCCAGCGAGATGAGATTTTGGATGGTGTGCAGCAGCTGCTGGGTAATAACAGCTGTTTGGGTGAAAGGGTTTTGGTCTGCTTGGATGATCATTAGGATTGTCTTAAGGGTCTGCTCTAGGTCACCTATAATGGTGCTGGAGGAATTTGTGTTCATGTTGTGCACCAAGGCCAGAAGGATGTTGACAGAACTGGTTACTTGAGATACAGCCCCACTGACATCCCCAAAGGTGCTGGTGTCATTAAGAACAAAAGACATTGTCTCCATAAGGTTGAGTGTGATATTGATGTATGGCCGTCCCTCAACAGGCATTATCAAGTATATGAAAGATGCAACCTCACTTAAAGAGTTCACTGCTTGTGAGATTTGGATAGGGGAACCGGATAACATAAGGCCCTCGTAGAGACTCATGGACACTTGATTAGACACGGTCATCAAGATGTAAACAAGGCCATCTGGAGTCATATGCATGGATGTCGGATCATAAGTAATGTTTAGAGAGTTAAGAAGAGACTGTGTAACCAGCTGGGAGATTTCTGGGAAGTGGGATGTAATTTCCGCAGTGTTGGATACTCTCGAGAGGGCAGTGAATAGAGCTGATTTGATAGCAAAGAGGTACATGTGTGTTTCCTTGGGGAGAACGACAACCATCTGATTGAACGTCTGGGTCAAAAGCATCTCCCTCTCAGCACCGCTGCTCAGGCTATAGTTTGACATGGAGAGGTTGAACAGGATGTGGGTGGCCATGGCACTGCTAAGGATGAGGGGATGGGTGACCTCTTGAACAGATTGTCCATTCGGAAGAGCTGTGATATTCGAGAGGGCAAGGACATGGTTTAGGGAGTTAGAAATCATGCTGGTGGACATTATGACTTTTTCTATGTCTCCGGGATATGCCTCGAGCAATGCAAAGGCTTGCAGCATTTGTCCAGATATGTTGAAATACACAGCTATCTCTCCAGAGGGAAGTGAGTCGAAGGCTTCTGCAGTTTGATCCTTGGCTGCCAAATAGGATGCTACGCTCATCTGCGACCCTGGACTGGAAAACGAGCCAATTATGTTTTGGAGAATGCCAGTGACCTGAGGGCTGATGTCCTTGATTTCCTCAAAGTTCTCGGTAAGGATGTTGTTGAGCGCCGTGAGGAATTGGATTGCAGTGTCGGTGCCATTTCCACCCTGTAAGATGATATTTGACACCAAAGCTTGAAGTTGTTGGGCCATGTGCTTGGTTCTTTGCGCAATGTTCAGAGGTGGCTGGTCGGATAGCACCATGGCCACGTCAATTGTTCTTCCTAGGCTCTCTGCAAATTTCTTTACATTATCAAGGTCCTGCAAATTCCACCCATCACTTCCGATGTCTATGAACATCTCCAGGAACTGCTGTCCATTGCTAGGGAGTGTCAAGTAGGACAGCACGTTCAGAGCTGTGTCAATGGTTTCCTCCTGACTTGTGTTTCCAGTCATTTCACTCAAATAACCCTTCAGGATGACACCCAAGTCTGGATTTGCAAAGAAAACATGAATAGTCTCCAGAATTTCAGTCGATGTGGGTGGAATGGATAGAACTTCAAGCAAGGCTTGGTAGTCGATGTCAAGAAGGTCAAGGAAGTCATCCACTGGCTCTCTCTGTACTTCGCTAGCAATTCTTCTGGCATTTCTTGTGTGGGACACAAGACCTTGCAGGTTCTGTCCCTGAGCAATTTGTATTTTAAGTGGGCTTAGATATTGTTCCACAGGGTCGAAGAGGTCACTGGTTAGTTTGATCTGTTTCAGCATGTACAAAACATTCCCCGAAAGGTCAATAAAGGTTTTTGAGAGACACGGCAGTGGCATCTTAGTTAGGGCATCTCTTACTATATCGTATAGCTTGCGCAGGATCTCCAAGACCAAATTTAGTCCAGTATCTTGAGTAGTGTATAGCCAGTTGAAAAAATCAACAGTTTTCCATAGGGTGCCACTTGTTTCTTCCAAATACAGAACTTGCTGCATTATTCCATAAAGGGTGGGCCAGTTGCCCAGCAATCCCGTACCAATGATTTGTTGGATAACCTCTTTTATTAAACTGTCAACTGTGCTTCCATTGGGGTTCATAAATATGTCTCCACTCAGGATGTAATTAATGGTTTCCTTTGTAAAATTCATTCCGGTAAGCGTGATCTCCAGAGCTTGCATGATGATCTGAGGGCTTACAGTTGAGTTCTGAAGGAGATTGCCATTCTGTAGGATGACCTCTATAGTTTTTCCAATTGCCTCGATGTATGGCGTCATCCAGGGAGCTTCTGTCTTAATTTGCTCCAGAGCCATTTGTACTGAGGAGAGGCTAATGAATGAGAGACAAATTAGTATTGCATATTCACAAAAAAGTTACAAAATAAAAATAAATAGCTGGATTAAATAATGTACTGTTATGCATATATGTGATAGATTATAAACCATTACAGTCCAAGATACTTAAATGTAGAGTTGATGGGACCATTTATGAATCGGCCATATGAACATAAGATGTCTACAATTTTTAAACTGGATTACTTATATTTAAAGCAGCAAAACATTATTCCATATTTAATCTTGATTTTGCTCTCCATTTCAGTGGGCACTCATATTATATTAATAGAACTGTATAGTTATAATAGACTTAGAGACCATTTCCATCATGTTCAATGATCTACAGCGGGTACAGAAATGTTCCTGCAGTCTTACGTGATTGATTCGCCCAGATATGCGCAAATGCATAATTTGATTCCTATCAGTAGTCAGTTCATTACAGGGATGAGCACATAAAGCAGAATCAATTTAAGAGCAGGGAGAAAGAGATAACAGAATAATAGAAACTACTTTATCTGCTCAAACCTGTTTGGAAGCAAAGGAGTCAAACTGAATAAATCAACCTTAATGCAAATTTAATTACTCTTACTTAGTTTGTTTGCATGATTCCAACCCCTGGTCCTTATGGTTAATAAATGCAAATCTCTTGGCAAATTTGAGATGGTATTTCGGTAATATAATCGGCTCATTATAATGTCGAGGTATAATGGGCGTATGAGTGCGGTCAAAATTGCTGCACGCTTTTGTTGTCGGCAATTTAGTCAAGCTATAGCCTACAGTTTGAAAAAAAAAAGGTAAAAAGCTCAATAGCGTTTATCTTTATAAAAGATCTTTCACTGTTATAAGACTGCCATTTGTTTGCTGTCATGTAATATGACTTGGGTCAAGTATCACGGTAAGAATATATGATAGTGTAAAAATGACTCCAGCGCATTAATACCTTTGGTACAGCTGCATCTGGAGGAGCTGGACATTCCAGTCAGCCTGGTTTGTTATTTCTAGCACTGAGAGGTTGTATAGCATTGAAGTGTAATGCAACAGGACTTCTGTAAGGTGATTGACAGCAAAGGTACTGTTCAGGATCGCCCCATAGAAAGTCTCCAGTGACTCGGCCATCATTCCTGCAGTGGCGTTTATCCATAGAGGGTTAATTGCCATTCCCTGTTTAGAAACAGAGGGACAAAGTCTAAATCAGTCTTTAGTGCACACTACCATCTAGTGGTGACATATGATAGTTGCATTTGAGAGCCATAAAAAAGGCTGTTATTATAAAACTGGAACTTATTGTCTCACTGTCATATTAAAGGCTGGAGCTGGTTTATTGTAGGCTGCTATGACTGGCAGTAGGCTGATGTTACACCACAAAGCAACAGTGTCTTCACTTATTCCAGCACCAGCTCTGACATCCTGCCATATTTGCTGCATGTAGCTGCAGTTCAGGCTCTGACCCTCCAAACCAGCCTGAGGGGTGAGGATATAAAATAAAATAATTATCATAAAATCCTAACACACATGGAGAGATTAGACAGGATGGTACTGAATTGTTTTTCACTATTTCTAAATTCACTATTTAATTCTGGAGTCAAAAAGTCATCACATTTAAAGAGAACTTGTAAATGCAAGAAAAACAAAACACAGATATTCTGAGTTTGTCAGGATGGCAAAAAGTTTGGGCCATAGTTCGTACGTTGGGCCCAGGGGAAGGGGAGGGGAACCCATCCATGATCTCATTTTATGCCTTGTGAATACAAGTGATGTGATCATTGATACTATCGTAGACAAAGCATTCACTGAACATGTAGCAGAGAAGTAGAGATATATGACTCCTGCCAGGATCTGAGCATCTGTTGTGAAAGGAAACCAAATTCTCTCTAGGGATGAAAAGTAGCACCTATGCTCGCAAGCTAATAACTAGCTGTTTATCTGTGATTTATACAGTTCTTGGCACACTGAGTGGGCCTTTTGGGCCAAGGTTGTTGTATTAATTTCAGACAAAATGTCAGAACATTTCCCAAATACATTTATGAATGATGCCTGTGGCTGTTTGGAAACACACAAAAAGCTAATTAACAACTAACACCAGGTTATGCAAGATCCAATCTCCTCAATGCCTGATCAAAAACATAGTGCGTTACTAGGATATCTTGTCCTTACTAATAAAAAGAGATTTTCTTAAGTTAGTGCTAGGGTAACCTTTCAAATTCACATTTTTTGTGGTTTCAGTTACTCTTCGGTTAGCATAACAGGTAGCAATCAGAGTACTCAGAAAAAGTTTTCTCAACCAATGAAATTTTGGATTCAAAATCAAAATCAAGTAATTTGGCTAGTGGGATGCCATCTTAAAGGGAACCACTGTAAAACAACTGATCATACATACAACTTTCCATTTCGATTTTACACTGTCATGCTTACATAATGACAGTCTTTTTTCTGCTGTCACTAAGGACAGCTATTTTAAGCTAAAGCCACAACAAACACATTGTAGGTGTCTGAGAACATAGTATCATGCACATGACTTTGCTATTGATTGGGTATGTGTCATAAATGAGAATGTCAATCATTTCTCAACAAGCTTCAGTGGCATTATACAGAAATTCCAGCTTACCAACCCTCTATTATATATAGCAAAACCCTGCATTCTTTACATTGTTTCAGAAAGGTCTGTATAAGTATCTTAACAGTCCACCACATCAGTAGATAGGAATGTTGTTCTAACCTGCAGAGCAGCTTCGGCAGTTGACACAAGGGCCTGTAGCAATCCACCAACAAAGGACTGAGCAGTGAAACTGCTTGTGTTCGTAACATGAACAATGCCTGGCAAAAGGCTGGACAATGGCTGCTGGAGGACGTGGAGGAGCTCTGAGGAGAAGAAAGCACTTACATTAGATGCATACAGTTTAGATCTGAAAGACTGTATGAAACATGAACGCCTACCCTTCAATACTTTTGCAGCTGTATTCAACAGTAAGGCTTTGCTTTTCTCACCTGTTTGTGCCTGCATGTTGTGAGCACTGTTGACAATGGCTTGTTGAATTGTGGACACGACAGACGGCAATGAATCCCACATAGGAGTACCTTTGAAGGTTGAAAACAGAGCAACCAACATCTTCTCCAACCTGTTGTTCAACAAACACAGTCAGATTAACATTCAAAACTGAGAGACAATAAGAAATAAATCTATTTTTAATATGTATGCTCATTGGTTTTATTCCCAGGGCATGCATTAAAAATTTATATATAGCTTAAATGCAATGTAAGTCGCATTGGAAAAAGGCATTCTGCCAAATGCAAATATGTGTGTGCTTTTTAATATATTAATGCTCTGGGATTCTGAAGAACCTTCTCCATCCTGACCAATGTAGCAGAATTTAATCAGCTGATTTAATTGGCATCCCATTTAAAGACTAAACAACTCAATTTTGGCAAGGAGTATCACACTTACTGATCGTTTGTGCTGAAATCGTGAGGTGACAGACTGATCGACTGCCTCTGACATTTCTGCCACCGCTTTTTTAATTTAAAAGTCATTTAAGTGTGGAAAATCCCCCCCCCCAAATGCTTGGTTATTAGAATTATCATACATAATAATCAGCTTTTGTAATATGCTGCTTTGCACTGACAAAAAAAAAAGGAACAAATGTGAAAAGAATGTGAAAAGAACAAAAGCTTGTCAGATCTTCAGCGTGAGAAAAAGATCGTCCCAACAACTACTGTATCAGTGTTCATTTTAAAGTTGTCAAAGTTGTCAGAGAATCTGAGTATTATGGCCACATGGACTCTCTATGATTCTCTTGACTATATAAATGAAGCTTACTTGTCAAAGGTCAGCTGGTCAGCACTCCCGGAAAGGATCTGGACCAGAATGCCTACAGATTCTGTGACAGTCTGGGTGGACTCATTCATGAATGGTGACATAGAGCCCAGAAAGACTGTAAGCTGTAGCATCACAAAAAAGTTGAATGCTCGATACAAGTATACATAACACATTTATATTTGTGTGTGTGTGAATTGTATTTATTTGCGCAATAAATCAACACATATCATAATATGGCAACATTTTCTTGTCAAAAGATTTGTTGGTTGTGAAAGATCTGTTTATTACAGGCCTTTGAGAAATAAAAGCAACTTACCTGTTCTGTTATTTCATTTAGGCTGCCAAGACTGAAGTTGCCTAGGTTATGCCACATGTTTGTATATCCTAAGAAAAATATTTAGTACATATATCTATGACATCTTGATATAGAAATAATGGTTTAAATAGTTTTACTAATATATAAACAAACTGTTTTATAATGAATCCCGATTACCAACAAACACCATACAGTGAACTTGCCTTCATTTGAGTTTAGAATATACTCTGTGACCTTGAGAATCACAGATATGATGGGCTGAGCAGTGTTGTTTGAAGGCAGTGAATTCTGAAGCTCTCTCATCACATTCACAATGCTGAAAACGAAAAAGAAACACCAACTGTCATTACCTGTGCATACACAAATATATTTACTGCATTTACACTAAAATTCAAAAGATTGGGGTCCGTTTTTGAAAGTCTCACCAAGGCTGCATTTATTTAATCTAAAAGGCTAAAACAGTAATACTGTGAAATATGAATACATTTTAAAATAGCTGGTCTTTTTTTATATATTTTGTAATTTTGTAATTGTGAAATATGTTTCTGGTAAAGCTGAATACAGCAGCTGTTGTTCCAGTTTTCAGTGTCACATGATCATTCAGAAATCATATGTAGATTTGGTGCTCAAAAACATTTCTTGTTATTATTAATGTTGAAAACTGTTGTGCTGCTTAATATTTTTTGTGTAAACAGTGATACATTTCATACATTTTTGTCAGCATTTATTATGAATAGAAAGTTCAAAAGAATAGCATTTATTTAGAATAGAAAACTTCTAAATAAATATTATAAACTACTTTAGTCTAAGTAATATTATAAATTACTTTACTGTCATTTTTTTATTAATTTAATGCATTCTGGCTAAATAAAAGTATTAATTTATATTAAAAAAAATAAAAATAAAAAATCTTACCGACCCTTAACTTTTTAATGATAGTTTAGGGATGGATAGATGGATAAATTGATAAAAGGACAGATCTCTTTGTTTTTCACTATCTGCTGTATATTTATAGATCTCCTTGTCTATATATGCATAAGCCTCTAAGTGCAGTTTGAAAGTTTATTCTAAAATTAGCATTTTTATTAGGCTCCTATGTGTAGTTTCAGTAATTTCCCTTTAATGGCAATGAATAGGTTCGTTAGATTGCCATTTACGTGAAATAACTGGATATAAGCATAGGAGCCTGATAAAAATGCTCATTTTAGAAGAAATTTTCAAACGGAACTTAGAGGCTTTTGCATCTGAACTCTTCATATATATATATACACACACACACACACACACATATGTGTGTATACAAAAATATATAGTCATACTTACACTTCATTCCATTTGTCTGGTCCAGCAGATTGGGAGATGGTCTGCAAATACGTTAAAATGCTGTTTTTCATGGGAACCAACACCTCAGCGACCTCTGTTGGCAAAAGGCCATGAATAGCTCCCCCTACCATCTGGATAGTCTCCTGTGTGAGGTGGTTAGCCTGCATGTAGTATATATTGGGGTTCAGGATCAGCTGAAGTGAACCATTAAAAGCACCAAAAATATTGTTAACCACATCCTGAGGTAGAGCTCCAGTTTCATTTGAAATACTCTCCAGAACTACTCTGACAGCACTAATGATGGCTTCTGTGAAGTTTTCACTTTGGAGACCACCATCAGTGCTAGCCACCTGTAGAGCGTAGGTTAGTCTCTGAGACAACTGTTCAGCAACAGCGAGGAAGGCTTTGTCCTCAGGGGAGAGTAGGGGGGCCATGGCTTGCAAAAGTTGGTCAAGATTCACCCCAGCTGCAGCAAGATCTACAGAGCTAACGTTCCCCTGGAAGATTGCAGCAAGTGCCATTGTCAGTTGTTGGTTAATGATAAAGTCCTTTGTCAAGTTGCTTTCATTTGAGCTCAGAAGGTTTTCTGTGACCTTGATTATCATTGATATGATGGGCTGAGCTGTGTTGTTTGATGGTAGGGAATTCTGAAGCTCTGTCATCACATTTGCAATGCTAAAAAAAGGGAAAATAACATCAGTGCAACTGTCATCTCTCTTCCAAATATACATACAATACATATATTAAAATGTAATGAGAAAGCAAGAACGAAACAGAGAGAAAGAACAATATGCAAATATACAGTCTCTACACTCACAGTTCATTCCAAAGATCAAATCCAGCAGGCTGGGAGATATTATTCAGATAGGATAAAATGCTGTTTTTAATGGGAACCAACACATCAGCTGCCTCTGCTGGTAAAAGGGTATGAATCGCTCCCTCTACCATCTGGATAGTCTCCTGTGTTAGTGTGTTAGCTTGGGCATAGCTCATATTGGGGTTCAGGATCAGCTGAAGTGAATCATTAAAAGCACCAAGAATATTGTTAACCACATGCTGAGGTAGTGTTCCAGTTTCATTTGAAATACTCTTCAGAATCACTCTCACAGCACTGATGATGGCTTCTGTGAAGTTTTCACTTTGGACACCACCATCAGTGCTAGCCACCTGTAGAGCATAGTTTACTGCCTGAGAGAACTGGTCAACAACAACAAGGGACTCTCTATCTTCAAGACGGAGTAGGGGAGTCAAGGCTTGGAGGAGCTGTTCAAGATCCTTCCCAGGTGTTGTGATATCTACAGAGCTAATTTCCCACTGGAAAATTCTAGCAAGTGCTGTCATCACTTGTGGGTTAGTGATCCACTCCCTTGTCAAGTTGAGGTAGGTCATGATCTGAGCTTCAATTTCAGCAGGAATACTGATGTTCATTGGGGAGCCTAGAGAATCATAGAACGCCTGCTGGATCTCAAGAGTTCCTTTAATCAGTGCCAGCTCACCCTGCAGCATGGCCATGATTGTATTGGCAACATGTACAAGATCCTCGCCTTCCAGAGGAAACCTCACATGAGTCAAGTTCTTGATCTGATTCATTGCTAGCGTCACCATATCTGCTTCTGCATTGATGAGTGCCACCTGCATTTCAGTCATGCATTTCAGTTGATGGAGAATCTCTGCAAACATACTGCCACTGGTGACATTTCCAAGCTTGTTTAAATACCACAGTGTGATTTCTCCATACACCCTCTGTGCATACTGTCCCTGCACCATCAATGTCGAGTTAATGGTGTGGTATGGGTATCGTTCTCTGAATACCTTTTTCAAGAGGTCTTCCAGAATTTTGAGCTCATTTGTAATATTAGTGATGTTCTCCACATCAAGACCTTGAAGGTTTTGTCTAATGGCTGACAGTGTTGTTATCAGCCCCTCTTCTGTCAGTGCAAGTGGGTCAGATCCAGAAATGGACATGTTATTTAGTTTCTGATACTCTACTGAAATTATGTTAAGCCAATTATTAAGAGTCATTTGAGCATTCTCTGCCACAGGTATTACTCCAAGTAAACCAGAAGCAGTCTGGATGAGCTGAAGGACACATTCGGCCTGTCCATTAGCAGGAGGCTTTTGGGGAGACTGTGTGGTTTGAGTGTTCATGCATTGTGGGATTTGAATGGCCATATTCAGAGTCTGCAGTACGGATGCCGACCAATTAGAATGAATTACTGAATTGACTTGTTCTAATTCAAAAATGGTGAAATTGGAGGCTTGTAAAACTTGACTGATGTTGAAAACAGGAGATGCATAAGCCAGCTCAAGAAGATACTGAATCTTATTGAAAATTTCCATTGAGGCTTCTGCTGGCCGGGACATGTTCCATGGCAGGAGCAGAGCGAGAACATCAAGCACAACAGGGAGAGTCATGTTACCCTGAAGAGGTGTAATTGGGATGGTCATATTATTTCCAAATGCAAGGATTGCTCCAAGATTATCAAAGACATTCTGGACATCAGCAACACAGTCCTGGCCAAGAGCTGAACAGATCTCCAGATCTCGAATGAGGGCATGAGTCTTATTTAGCACTGCTTCTAACTGATACTGCTGCTCTGGAGGCAAGATGGCTCCAAGTTGGCTCAAAATAGCTTGAAGAACTGCAAAACTATCCTCTACATTTAGCATCTGGATGGACCCATTGTTCAAGACCTGAAGGACGCCCATGATGACTGGGTGCATGCTGGTTGTTTGGGAACTTCCTGACAACAGGTTCTCTACCTGCCCCAGTCCAAGAGCTGCCATGATGTCGTTTAACAGAGTGAGCGAGAGCTGAGTGTCAAACTGTTGTGTGGACTGAATGTTGGAGAGAAGCTGAATTTCTTTATCAACTGTATTAATGAGGTTCAGCAGCAAGTCTTGTAGTGAGATGTCACTACCAAGGAGCTGACCTGGTAGGCCATTGGCATTGACTTGCTGTAAAAGTGGCATGTAACTGTTTTGGAGAAGAGCCACTGTCCCCTGGAGAGGTCTAAAATCAAATGAAAAAGGTGGAATTGAAAGTCATTGTCTATAAAAAAAATAATCTATATTGTATCACCAATGGGACTTTTTATGTAATCTGATACAGTACATTTTGAATATCAAGTATGCACATAGTAGTACATAAGTTAAATATAAAATTACTTTGGTATCAAATTCAGTAAATAATCACTACCTTAACAGGCTGTCAGGTTCTCTTGACACTTCAGAGATCAAAGAACGAATCAGTGGAACAGCTTTTTCCCAGGTAAAGCCAGTCTGACAGGTGAAGGCAGATGGAAGAAGTGTGCCTGCAAAAAAGTGTGTACAATTCACTGCATATTATTTATAATATGGCTGAAATAAATAAAATTCTGATCATGCAATATCTTCAGTGATTCTACTATGAACTGATAGATTGATTGGAAATGATAACACTTTGCCATACATTGTCAAATTTACACATATTTCATATCAATGAATTGGCATTACTTTACAATAAGGTTACATTTGTTCAAATTTATTAATGCATGAGGTATCATGAACAATTAAACAAAGAATATATTTAAAACATTAAATGTTATACTGTCATTTTAAGTTCACTATTAAAACATAATTAAATAAATAAAATAAATGTATTTATAAAAATAAATTAAAAAAATTAACAATAGTCTTGATTTTACAATGCTATAAAAATCTCATTGGTATAAAATTAATAACGATATAAAATCATACAACTGCACAACATAATCTTATATTAAAGGGTTAGTTCACCCAAAAATGAAAATTAGCCCATAAAACAAAGTGAACCAATTTATCCAATATTCATAATTTTTTTACACTCACAGTTTGGTGATGCAGTGGCATTAGGTTGGTAGGTCAAAATCCAATAAGCCATATGGACATATGGTTCCATGGAGGGCCACAGATAGCTGTTCTCTAGCAGAGAACCCATGTTCTCAAATGTGCCAGTAGCGCTGTTTCACAAAAAAAATTAAAATGCAAATAAACATATAAAATGCATTTAATAAGTGATAAAGGTACTTAGCTAGACAGAGCTCCGTTTTGTACAGGGACTGTTTTAGTTTAGTTCACCACTTGATACAATTATAAACAAGCAACGTCCTAGTCACATAGTAGTTATTGACAATTACTAGGTTTCTGACCTGGTCAAAAGAATTTGGGACAATCCAACTGAAATGTTCCCAGGGATCCAAGCTGCAAAATAGTTCTCATTAAGCACAGTTTGCAAGTTCTGGAGGGCAGTGACATACTGCAGGGCGGTTGTGTACAGGTTGTGCCACTCTGCCATAAGTATTGAGGGTGTGACATTGTACATTACAGTTCCATTCACAGCATCAACCAACTGCTGGATCTGTGAAAACACATTTAGTTTAGACAGTAATATAATGGTTAATTTCCATTTTTTGTCAAATAATAACAAGGTTAGAAATGTTCTGGCCATTACTTCTAAATACACCCCCTTACCTTCTCAGTTACTGGCAAAAGTGATGTTAACAGCATTTCCTCAAGACGTGTGTCATTCCCAGCGCAAACTAGAGTGCCCCACAACTGAAGGTCTATAGAGCTGTATGTTGACATCCAAGCCCAGGGAGCAGAAAGGTCTTTGCAGCTAGTGTGACCCTCTAGAACCTGTATGAAAATATTAGAGGACACCCAATATGACAAATTAAGACTTTAATGAAAACTACAAGAAGCACACACTTAGACTTTTTGACCCACATTGGCCATGGTTTGCACAATAGAGTCCATGGCATGGTCAGCCCAGGCCTTAGCAAAGGTCTCATTCTGCATTAGAGAAAGGAAGGCCTCCTGGACATACTTGGCATCCCTCAGGACCACATCAATGAATGCTGTGAAACAGATAATGATAATTCAGTTAATCGGTGTGTCAAGCATTGGAAGTTGTTTGCATTGCATAATTCTCTGCACATGCTGATACATACGTAGCTGTACTTCCATTGCAACTCTCGCCACCTGCATGGATGAATGGCCAGCCATCATGAAAGTCTGAATGTATTCCCAGCCAGGCATGTCTTGTAGAAAATCAAATGCTGTACTGCTTAATCCGAAGACTCTGAATTGGAAAATGGTGAATAGGTTGGACTTTTAAAAACTTTATTTTTATTTTATTTTATTTTACTTTATTTTCCTCATTCAGATGTCAGCTGAACCAGCAGGAAATGGCAGTGAGAATAAAATTTTAAAAAGAGTTGTACAAGAACCTGGTTTTGTTTTTTTATATAAAACCCATATTCATATAAAAAGTAGTGGACTAATACTTAAACTCTCTTGTTAAACCAGCAGTAACAAGCAGTTGCACAGTGTAGGTGAAAACGTGCTGCATCTGTATAGTTTGACTGATTTAAAAATCTAACTACTAAAGTAAAAAAAAAACTACATCCTGGAAGCAAACTCAATGGTATTCAAGCACAAATTCATCTGTCACATGGCATAACCAAACCAGATTTGGCAGATGCCACCACAGACATGATGCATGACATGCACTCATTCTCAAAAATAGCAACCAAAACTATGAGAGGTAAGAGAAAATACAACCCATACAATACAATTAATATGAGTTTGATACTGTGTTGGGTCATCACTTAATGTGAAATACAGATCCAAAAGGATAACTGTATTTGTTACAGAAAAACAGATCAGTTTCACATTTAATTACTGCATCTAATTCCATCTAAACACATGCAAAGTAGTCTGGGTTGACATACAATTGTTCCCCCAGGCTCTGTGGCTGAGCATCACTGCTGCGCTGGGACCTGGTGTGTTTGAGAACAGCATCCAGGCTTGATGGAGAGACTAGGCCCAGTAAGCTGCTGAACACCTCCTTAGTGAAGGCTATGTCTGCCGAGGCAGAGGTCTGACTCCAGGTCAACAGCACCTGTAGGGATGAGACATGAAGATGTTATTGGTACAGATGTATTTAGTAACAGCATGCATAATTTAAATGTAACGCAGAGTTAAAGGCCTATGCAAGTGGGTTTGTTCCAAATATAGTATGTAATATTTGTATGTAATTGTCAATGTGACAGTCCTACTAATTACTCTGCATGGTATTTGTCATATGCTGCATGACTTTTGAATTTAAAATAATGGTGATTGGATATTGTTGTGGAGTTCCCTCTGTGGTGAGGGGAATGTCTAATTGGTGTTCCCTGAGGACTGCTGCATATACATGCTTTTTATGCAATCAGTCTCAGGGCTGTTAGCGTGTTGTTTTGTGTTTAGACTGAGCTGGTTTCCTGGGTAACAAGTGCAGCTGATGTTTGTGTGTTTTCCCACAAGATAGCAGGTAGGGAAGAGGAACTGCAAATGAGTGTTTCTCACCCTCTCAACTACAACAGTGGTCCCGCTTTATATTAGGTGGCCTTAACTACTATGTACTTACATTTAAATTAATAATTTGATACAATGCACTTATTGTGTACATACATGTTTTTACATTGTACTTATATTTTTAAAAATACCTATATGTAGCTACATCTGTAATTAATTTCTGTAATTACATTTATAATTACACTGTTGACCCATCCCTTACACCCTAACCCACCCTTAAACCTACCCAAACCACCAAACCTGTTCCTAACCTTACCCATATCCCACCTCAATAGCAGCAAATGTGTTTTGCAATACAATATAACCACAATAAGTACATTGTATTGTACTATTTTTTTTATGTAAGTACATAGTAGTTAAGGCCACCTAATATAAAGTGTGACCACACAGGTTAGTAAAGTCCAAGAATGAAGTGTAATTTAATATGGCTTATTTCTAAAAATAGAAAAGCAGTATTAGTAGATACCTATATATAAGAAATGTACCTGTTCAACAACTTTCCATGTATTTATCCCTTCAAATATCTTGCCCGCTTCCCAACTCCAACAATAGGATGCGATGATGTTTTGGTCACACAAAAAGGTACGAAAGTCTGCCTCGTTGAACAGCACTTGAGTCTGAGAAGATCAAAATATGTGTGAATTATTGTGTAGTTATTTGTGTTTGTTTATACAGTATAAACTCCTAAACTTTAAACAATAAAAAACAGTTGGGCTGGTTCTAGCCTACGTAAGCAACATTAGAGCATGATATGTCAATCCCCATGTGGAAAAATGTTGCAATATATCTTTTGTGAACAGTATTTTCATTGTGCGTCATTGCTAATCAAGCTCTCATTTTGTCAATTTATGCCATTTTGTCAATTTATGCAATTTCTCCATATTGAAATACAATAACTAAATGTATCAGTGAAGAGTTTAATGCTAGAGTATTATGTTGTTGTTAACTTAGTAACACACTAACACCAAACTCTAGTGAAATCAACTGTAATACGAAATGAATAAAGAATAATCACTAAATACAACTTACGAACAGAATATTCATATTGTGCATCATTTCTAATCATACTGTATTTCAAAATGTATGCAAAAAGTGTGAAAATGTGTGTATATTTAATGCACATAAAATGCTAGCCTTAGCAAGACAAAAAATAATTTTTAGTTTAAAATGTTACTTCAATCGCTGCCTTTTCCACCACAGGATAATATTAAAAACAATACAAAACTTGAGATATGACACTGGTGGAAATGTTCATGACTTTTATGAAAAAAAAACACAAGACAACTTTTGATGCATGCATATACACTGTTGGATGTAATTTGTGGACAAATTAAATATAAGTTAAAGTGTGAAAAAGTGTTTCAAAGGAATTTATTTTCTCAAAGTCTATGGAGCTTTTGGCTTTATGCACAAGTTGAATAAACACTCCTTTTCTGAACAAAGAACCTGCACTGAGCAACCATGAAAGGCCTACCTTATCGAGAGGAATCTGGATTTGGTTGATAAGGTCTCTCATGTCTGAGCTAAGTAGAGCAATGCTGCTTGGGGTCACGACATCACTCAGTTTGAAATACACATCTGTTTAAAACGAGAGAAAAATGTGACTGCACTTTTAACCAACACATGAGAGCTCTTGAGGCAGACAGCATTCTAATGCACTTGAAAGTTGCATGTCAATCCACATTTTGGGGAACATGCTGGTCAAAATACCAGAGTGTAAGTTAAAGGGTTAGTTCACCCAAAAATTAAAATTAGCCCATAAATTACTCACCCTCAAGTCATCCTAGGTGTATATGACTTTCTTCTTTCAGACGAATCCAGTTGGAGTTATATTAAAAATTGTCTTAAATCTTTCAAGCTGTTAAGTCACAATGCCACTCAGCGGGTGTTGCATGCATCAGTCCAAAAGAAGTTAAATAAAAAGCGCCCATCCATAAAAAATACCATCTCACACGGCTCAGGGGGGTGAACAAAGGCCTCCTGTAGCGAATCGATGCGTTTTTGTAAGAAAAAATCCGTATTCAAAACGTAATAATCACTTTAATCTAGCTAATCTATACACCTAGGATGACTTGAGGGTGAGTAATTTATGGGCTAATTTTCATTTTTGGGTGAACTAACCCTTTAAGCTAATGCATGCAACACCCGCTGAGTGGCATTAAACAGCTTGAAAGATCAAAGATCATTTTTAATATAACTCCGACTGGATTCGTCTGAAAGAAGAAAGTCATATACACCTAGGATTACTTAAGGGTGAGTAATTTATGTGCAAATTTTTGGGTGAACTAACCATTTAATTCTAAAATGTGTAATTTCTGTGTCAGTAGCATGACAAATTTGTAAAAAATGACTGTTTTCAAACTGGTTTCCGGAACACTCCCCCTGCCTCCCAATAGTCAAACAACCAGACAATCATCCTATGAATAGCTTGAATATGAATATCTGCACATATTAAAGGGGTCATATGATGCTATTTTAAAGATCATTATTTTGTGTATTTGGTGTAACAGAATATGTTGACATGCTTTAATGTTCAAAAAACACATTATTTTTCAAATACTGTACATTATTGTAGGCGGGGCGTGTTAGAACGGCCGTTTTAGGTAGGTGTGGCTGACTCTTAACTTTTATAAAGAATATCTCTTTGGATTTGAGACTTTAGTCTTTGCAACTTTACAGATCTTCTTTATGCACCAAGAGCTTGTAACACTCCAAAGAGAAAGGAAAACTTGAAATCGCATCATATGACCCCTTTAAACAGGGATAAAAAAAACAATTTAAAAAAAATTTAACAATAAAAAATACACCCTTCAGTTTTAAGTACTCATATAATAAAATTCACTTAGCTTTCTTTTATGAGAACAGGCTGTAATTGTCATGTGATGATAATTTTTCACCTTGCCAAGTAGGATGCTCACCTTTTATAAGACAGGGTGTGGTGCACATAGAACACGTAGTCCAGACTGGTTTTGACAATAGACTCATTGGTCTCTAATTCCCCTAATAATCAACATCTCCCCAAAGATAGTAAGCAACCTGGCAGCCAGCAACCTGAGGTTAAGAACCTTACTCAAGGGCAGAATAGTAGTAACCATACATGTTCTGTATAACAACCTTCCCTGTTTATCCTTCTCTAATGAAAATAAAAAAAATCTCATACAATAAATTCAACATGTCGAGATGAAAAACTAGAATGAACCACTTTTATGAACCAAAAAAAAAAATAGCATGAACCACTTTATGATACTTTAAGGGTGACTTTTCTGTCCTTTTTGAAACTTGGCAGTAACTGTATGCTTTTGTTTATATGGGTGTAGATTCTTCTGTATTCTTCAAAACAGTTCTGGAATAAATACAGGTTTGGAACAACATGAGGGTCATCACAACACATGTTGCCCTGGCTGAAACTTTCCAAACCCATAATTTCTTTAAAACGAGGCATGTGTATGTGCAACCCTGAGCAGCCTGTGAGTGCCAATACAATACAAAAAAATAATATGTGAAACTACTTTCAGCTTGAATTAATAGGCATTGCCTTGTAATTAAGGAAATGGCAGTGCCATTAAATAGGTTGCCACAAATACCATGCAGCTCACAAAACATGTCCAGCATGTCATCTTCAACATACCTCTCCCTTTCCAAGCACTCATGTAGTTGAGAACGCCAATGCCTTTAGTGATGACTGGGTTTGTGACAGCAGTAGAGATGTTGGCATGAGGGAAAGTCCTCTGGAGAAATGTCAAGGCACTAAATGCAAATAAGAGAGGCTGAGATTCTTTGAAACCAGTCAACAAACACAAACATTACAAGCACGCATGTCACACATAATGGGAGTGTAGTGTGGATAAACACATCAGACTGAATTTGGAAAATCAAGTTGGGCAACCACATACTAATGTGGGTATGGAATTCCCAGAACTAAAAAACATGCACAAGGAGTAAACAGGCATTGATCTGGCTGAAATTTCCAGTGCACAAAATACAAAGTGCAGCCTTCAGTGTCACGTGATCCTTCGGAAATCATTCTAATAATGCTTATTCGGTACTTAAAGGTTTCATGAACTGAGAAATCAAAATTCCCTTGATCCTTTTACATATAAGAGGTATATAAAAACATTGTGTAAGTTACAAAACTCAAAACTTTCTCGTTAGTCTAAAAACAGCTTATATCTGCCAAAATGACAGCTTGTGGAATGTGCCACTTTACGACGTAATAGTGTGGCTAAACACCGCCTCCGCAGATGAAAATCAATACCTGCTTCTACATCGCTGCGTGTTTAGCCCCGCCCACTGTTTCACGCATGTAGTGTAAATAACAAGACAGCCAAACCCAGGTCTACACAGAATTCAAACGATAAACTTTATTTGATGAACTTTATTTTGAAGTGCCAGACTGCGTCAGTAAGAACCCAGTCCTTTGTTCACTTCATTTTACCGTGTATTCGTTTACAAACAAAGCACAATTTGATGCAGGATTTTCAGAAAGATTGAAAATAATAGATGATGCTGTGCCGACTATATGTCGCACCACACAAGTGTGAGTAACTTTTTATTACATGATCACTATTGCTTTGTCTGTTATTACAGATGGTTTGATATGTACTGAGTATTTATGCGTTTTTAACCTAAATCACAGCAGCGTCCATCTATAAAGGATGTAGGCTGTCAAACATACACAACTATTAGCCTATTACTTCTAAATTATGATTTTTTTTTTATTTAAAAATCGTGATAACATTATACAGTAAGTGGGCCTCAGAGAATAGTACAAAATAAAAAAACAAAGGCAGTTCATGACCCCTTTAAGAAACATTTCTTATTATTTTAATATTGAAAACAGTTGTGCAGCAATATTTTTGTGGAAACCGTGCTGCAATTTTTGTTGTAGGGTTATTTGATGGATAGAAAGAGAACAGCATTTATTTGAAATAAAACTCTTTTGTAGCATTATAAATGTCTTTACTGTCACTTTTGATCAGTTTAATGCATCCTATCTGAATAAAAGTATTAATTGAAAAAAAAGTCTGAATTCCAAACATTTGAATAGTAGTGTATGTGAGCAAAACACTCACTTTTTAAGATCTTCCAATTCCTCTGCTCCAGCATTTAGTATCTCTTCATCTGTTGGCTTTAGGAAGAGATCAGGCAAGCCAAGTAGGAAGTCCCACACTGACGTCTCCTGTTGAAGCATATCTAGGACCACCACAGTCCCTCCAATTGATCCCAATACTTCTGTCGGGTTATTGAGCAGCATTTCTGTCAGCACCTGGCGACCCACACAAGTAAACAGATGAACATCAAAGTGCTGTCTAATGGTTCATTTAATGGCTCTTTTTAATTGGACATATGTGGGCATAATGTGACTAGACTGAAAGATTATGAACAGTGTGGGAGGTCTGACCCCACCTGGTTCAGGGTGAGCAAGGATGCTTCCAGAACAGTATCGTTGGAGCTGCAGAAGTTTATTAAGCCTTGTGTAAAGAGATCCTGGGTACTGGCTGATGTGTTGATGGCAGTCACGGAGAAGCTGCATAAGGATTTTTTCAAGACGCTCACAGATTCCCAAACAGACTCCATTGTCTACAACAAAGAAAAATAAAATCAATGATGTAAGCAATTGGACTTTGAAGAATGCTATTTTAAAGAAAGTTGGTAACCAAACAGTTGCTGGTAGCCATTGAATTACACAGTATGGAAACAAATACTGTGGAAGTCAATGGCTACCAGTAAATGTTTGGTTATCAACATTCTTCAGAATATCTTCTTTTGTGTTCAACAGAAGACAAAAATTCATACAGGTTTGGAACAACATACAGGTGAGTAAATGTAAACGACAACAAAATTTTGGGTGAACTATCCTTTTAGGTAGCCATATTGCATGATAAAATATACATTGAAATGGTAACACTTTATTTTAAGGTGTCCTTGTTACATGTACTTACTATTATAATAACAATAAATTATGCATAATTACATGCAAGTAACCCTAAGCCAAACCCTAATTCTCACCATAACCATATAATAAGTACATGTAGTTAATTAATATTACTCAGTACAGAAATGTATAATTGCACTGTAACAAGGACACCTTAAAATAAAGTGTAACCATTGAAATCATAATGGACTTTTTAATGGACCAGTACATAAAATACACAACATACATTGAATACTATTAATATTACAAAAAAAAAAGATTATATTTTGTATTATCTCCTAAAAATAATAAGAAAAAATAAAATAAAATAAAATAAAACTTTTTATATATACAAAAAAAAACATGGATATGTCAAGAATACAGAAAACACTCATCACTAACCTGATCAACCAGTACGGTGTTATTAAAAGTTTGCATGACTGAAGTCACATTGGGAATGTTTTGAAAGCTGGAATCTTAAAATATTGTAAACAACACAGTTAAAAACATTGACTGACACATTATCAATTATTTAACACTGAGTGGCTTTGTATTAAAAGACGGATGAAAATATACATACTGAGCATCCTATCCCATAGCACTAGGAGCTCTGGATTTGATGTATCCCTTTTAAGGATTGAGTGAATCAGTCCTCCCTTCTGTAGATGGGCCAGTGGAGGCAGGCCATGGAACAGTGTTGGTAGACTGAAATATAAAGAGGACCATGGGTATATACAGTACAAGAACCATAATACACTAAAATTAAACTAAATAAACAATAGTTTTGTTACTAAAAATATAGAATATGGTTATAACATATTTAACATGGTTATAACATAGACATGTATGGTTATGTAAATGCTGACGTCTTTGCACAAGTCTACACAAAAAAGAAACATGATAGACAGATTATTTAAAAGCACACGTCACAGTGAAAGATGAAGCATTATTTAACGATAACTAGGTAAAGGATTACACAAAAAAGTCCTGTGAATTTAAACCCTCCTACACATTATGAGCTGGTAGCGAGTTTGTTCAGAGCGCACAAAGAAATTGAATTAATAAAAGGAAGTCGAAAAGAAGCAATGCTGCCATGGGAGTTTCTGCCACCCCCTTATTTTTAAAAGTATGTATTTTAATATTATATTATTATACACTCAATAAAATCTTTTGTGGTGTATGTTAAAGCAAAATAGTGTCTTAAAGCCTTTTCTATTTTTTCAACCTTTATTCAACTAAATTAACAAACTTTAATCTAATATTTACTCTTTCACTGTTACAGACTTTTATCTATTTTATTTTGTTTTACTTATTTTATTTTATTTCATTTTATAGAGCAATTCCACTGAAAATGTTTAAGCAATAATCGTTAATTCTTATAGGTAAATACCTTTTTTTTTAAACTTTGTTAATTTACAGGTTAGATGTCTAATATTAATGTTTTTATCTGGAAGAAAGTGGACCGAATGTACGGAAAGGTTTTGACATTTTTTTTCTCCTTTTGTGTTTCACAAGGAAGAAACTGTCATACAGTTTTTGAGCGATGATGGGTAGATCATAACAGAGATAAATTTAAAGCAAATTATCTTACTTATCTATTTTCAAACAATGTAATATGGGTTTATACCACAGTGCTTTAGACAAACACTTTTTTAGTTATAATCATGCACTTTACAATCAAAAATATTTTTTAAGAAGTTGCACTTTTTAAGTAGTTATATTTACAGTGTGTCTTTTTGTTTTAAAGGAAAATAGCATGTAAAAATTTCCATTTCACCAACATTCTTCAGCAACAATGACCCAGCAAAGGTTTTGACTACAGAAGGTTTTATTGTTGACTCAACCTGGAGACAATATACACAGCATTAAAAGAGCTGTTGAACAAACAGGTTTAGTCAACATTTCTCTATAAAGCAGCCAAAAGCTTTTGCTGATCAACTGACCAAATAAGAGAATTCTTAGCTTTATGAATACTGACTAAGGCAAAGGGGACAGCGATGTCACAGGAGGTGCAGTGTTTTGCCATAAGGTCCATTATCATCTCATTAGTGACGCATCAACCTACAGGTGTGGCCATTGTCATTTTGAACTGAGCCATCTTTATCAGACATCTACAGCACATGGCTTTAGGGTGCTGGCTCATAAATATCACCATTAATGTTCACATCTGAAGTTCATCATAATACTGAAATCAAAACAAGACCAGACCTCAGGTTTTCTGAGAATCTGGTGCAACATGAAACAACTGAAAGGGTAAGACAATATTTCTGGAAATGTGTTATTTTGCACATGCATTACTTGTGAGATTCAGCATCCCTGCGGTGGCGACGACCTGTGTACCAGTACGATTTGGACTGTCCTTCTGTTAGGTAGGATTTGCTGGTGCATGAACTGTCGGTGCTACACATGAGTGTCTGCAGGAAAGGGAAGAACCCGGTGCTCGGAAGGTTTCTAGGCGCCACATAGCCTGAAAGAAACAGCACAGAGTTTAACTTTAGTTGCTGAGAGGTTGTTGTTTTTTTAGGGTTAAAGGAATAGTTCGACCAAAAAATAAAATTTGTGGAAAATGATGTAGAATGTAAGATGTACATGAGTTTGAGACTTGGGGAAATTTATCATTACACCACATGCTCACCAATGGATCCTCAGCAGTGAATGGGTACCATCAGAATGAGAGTCCAAACAGCTGATAAAAACATCACAATAATCCACAAGTAATCCACATGACTCCAGTCCATTAATTAACGTATTGTGAAGTAAAAAGCAGTGTTTTTGTAGAAACAGATCCATCAAGGCGTTTTAACTTTAAGCTGTCACTTCTGGCCAAAATATGCATCCATAATCCATAATAACGTTTCATCTGGTGTGATCTTTGAACATTTCTCTCCTGATTCAGACAAAATGACTTTTCCACTGTAGAAAGCAATATTATAGATAGAGGACTTGTACTTTACCCGGAAGCAACAGCTTGAAGTTAAAAACATCACAAATATGCAGCTTTTATGAGTCATGTGGATTACTTGTAGAATATCATGATGTTTTTATCAGCGGTTTGGACTCTCATTCTGACGGCACCCATTCACTGCAGAGGATCAAGTGATCTAATGCTAAATTTCTCCAAATCTGTTCCATTGGTGAAACAAACTCATCTACTTTTTGGATGGCCTGAGGGTGAGTACATTTTAAGGATACCTCATGGCATGGATTATTGAGCACAGTTATTGTGTTGACATATGTTCTACTGAAATGGGACATCAGACAGAACATATCCAATTCATGATTTGCCTTTGCTTGTCAATACCATGTATATACCCATGTGAGCAAGATGAGTTATCAATATTTTGGTCTGTTTTCTAGGAAGAGAATGACTCCACATTTTAAATGCATATGTATGTGCTAAAAGTTTATTTAGTCAACTTGTATAGGTCCAGTATACAGATGACCTCAAATCCAATAGTCATGGACAAAAAGCCACAAATTTTTCTCTTAAAAATCCTGGAAGAAATAAAAATACGACAATGTATTAACATTTGTAGGAATATACAGAATGCATATAACGAATGCAAACAGCCTCCACTTTTTTATGATAAATTTGGGTAATTTCTGTTAAAATGTAAACAATCATCGACTGCCAATAAACTTGTTTAAAGGTTTGCTCTATAAAATAAACATCTGCAAAAACTGTGTACAATGAGGTGCCATTATTCTCCTCGCTCCTCAACCATCAAAAATAAATTAAAAAGTGTGAAAGTATTTTAAAGGGGTCATATGATGTTGCTAAAAAGAGCATTATTTTGTGTATTTGGTGTAATGAAATGTGTTTATGCGGTTTAAGGTTAAAAAAACACATTATTTTCCACATACTGTACATTTGGAACAGTGAAATACAACTTAACCACTGATTTCTAGTCGTGTCCTCTTTTGGAAGGCCAAACAAAGTAGTTTCGCTTTCACAACGAGCGGCTAGAGTGAGCGGCGGCCGGAGGCCTAGAGTGAGACGAGGCCGGCTTGAGTGAGCGGAGGCGGGCGGGCTTGAGTACGGCGCGGCCGGCGGATTCGACAAAGGAGCGTCTGGCGGGCTTGTGGCAACCACATGTGACGACCCCGGGCTGGACTCCGCTTCGTCCACGGTGAAAGCCGATCTGGCGATCCACAGCGCGAAGTTGATGTATTTCACATGTGCGGCGTGTTAGAACGAGCAGTTTTAGGTAGGCGTGGTTGACTCTTAACTTTTATAAAGAATATCTCTTTGGATTTGAGACTTTAGTCTTTGCAACTTTACAGATCTTCTTTATGCACCAAGAGCTTGTAACACTTCAAAGAGAAAGGAAAAATTTAAATCGCATCATATGACCCCTTTAAAAAAATGTCAAGCATTTCTCTGCTTTAGAAACCATTCAAATTCCAGTAAATACTACTGAAAAGGATTTGCTGAAGTGACACCCATAATTTTAAAAGCAGTAGACTTGTTCAGAAAATCCCACATGATTTTGTCTTAATAATGTTCATATTGAAATCTTTAGATATCTGATTGCAGACTATGGTTTCTTGGCAAATCTGAGCAGACTTTGTGGCCCTATTTGTTCTCTGCAAAAAGAAACATTAATACTGTAGATACTTTTTTTTCTCAGAGGAAAAATCTGAGAATCAGACCAGCAAAATGTCTCTGTTTGTTCTCCACTTAATCACATTGCTGTCTGGGAAAAAACAATTGAGATCTCAATCATGTTTTCTCAACTTGGGTTGGTTTTTCTCTCCCCAGAGAGGGAGAATGTTTGATTTTCCTGTCTGGTTTTATGGTATAGGACTTTCATAGAAACAAACACAAAAGGAGTCAAAAGGTACATTACTATAGACTGAGAGTGACCACTTAAAAGGTTTCATACTGTAGAATTATTGACCTTATGCAATGTTTGTCCAGCAAACAATGTTTGAATGAACCAAAACCATAGAGAAACTATAGAGAAAGATTTAAAATAAACATGACATAATCTAAGCCTACTTAGGGTGCGATAAGTATACAAATGATTTGATCAGAGCAACTTGCTGAAATATACAGAGAGAGTTTTATTAACATGAGGAAATACTGACTAGGACTGTTGCATTAAGTTAGTCTTTAATACATTAAAATTTAATAACAGATGTGATTATTTTCATAACCAAATGTTAAGTTCCAACAAAAAATATAATAATAATATTATTAAACAAAAATATTCTAAGAACATTTAGCTAATGTTGTTGTTAAGTTATTCTGAATTCTGCTTTGAACGTTTAAAAGCATTTTTTCTTGGTTAAATGTGAATGTTAGAGGAAACATTAAGTGTACACTCAATTTTATTATTTTGCAAACATGATTGTGAAAGCAACTTTTAAATGTTCTCTGAACCAACTGAACCTAGTACATATTAAGCCAAAGTTCTGAGAATGTTCCTTGTTAGCTAGGAAGCTTTCGCACTTGTTTTCTCACATTATCAAATGAGTTTTGAGTTTCTATGGATGGATATACAATTAGACAAACAGTGAGTCTGCCTGTACAGAACGCTACAAGGCATAAGGGAGCTACTTATGGGAAAGACCAGGCCTAACAACCCAATCCTCAAGAGAAAAATGTGAAATAACAGAAAACTCCCAGAAGTCCGCCAGCTTAAAAAGAAAGATTACATAAATGCACAGAATACGTCTTTTGACCAGTTAATCCCAAATCATATTTAAAGAAAACTGGAGGCATATGGATAATTAAACATTAAACAAGAATAATGTAGATTGGGAGATTAGCAGCTGGCCATCCATTATGTACTGTAGAAATAAAACACTAGTCTAGAACATTCCCAAGCACGACATGGTGGATAACGTCAAATGTTCAAGAGATGACATCAGCCTGCTTAAGATTAATAAAGCCAGGAAAATGAAGTAAGATATGTTCAGCTACATATCTCCATCAAGCTATGAATCAAACCATCAGCTTTGTAACTATTCCTTGCAGACACGCTTTAGGATATGGAAGTTACAGCACACTAAGTGCAATGACAGTCCCAATGGGATAACCTGAGAATAAGTGTTTTGCTCGAGGGCATAATTGTAATAATTCAGGATTGTGAACTCATTAACTCCACAGCTTCTGACTCAGACCTTCTCAGGACTGAACCCGCAACTCTTTTGTCAGAAGCTCAGAACCTTAAACATAACCTTACACCATCTCTAACCAACTCAGAATGCCTTCAGACACTGTCCCGCCACGAGATCACAACAAACATAGATACATGGATTCCTTTTGCAGTCTAAATATAGGATGATGTGTTACAGAGGTACGTACACGTGTCTCTGAGTTTCGGTGGAAACTGTGAACGGGTGATCGCCAAGATAATAAAGATCACAAGTGGCCAGACAAGGAGAGCCAGCGACCAGGTCTGAAAAAAAATCAACAAACAAATATGCTGTCAGATTTTACTGTTGGTTATATTGTACATGGTTATTAATCTCAGAATAAAATAAAATCAAAACCAATAACTGGACTAGGAAGGATTACTGATTTTAGATATTACTGTCTGTACTTATGTAAAACCATCTGAACATATCATAAGATATGCATATGTATAGAATACCTTACTGAATAAGGTTTTAAGGACACAGAGAATATTAATGTGATAAACCACAGCTAATATAAAGAGTTAAGCAAAGATAAAGCTTTATCTTAAGGTAGCCAGCGCAAAATTACCCCAATTGTACAGTCTCGGCACTGGCTACCTATTAAGTTCCATATCAGTTACAAAATATTATTACTTACCTATAAGGCCCTTAATGGTTTAGCTCCTGCATACCTAACTAGTCTTCTACCACGCTACAATCCATCACGCTCCCTAAGGTCGCAAAACTCTGGACTTTTGGTAGTACCTAGGATAGCAAAGTCCACTAAAGGAGGTAGAGCTTTTTCGCATTTGGCTCCCAAACTCTGGAATAGCCTTCCTGATAATGTTCGGGGTTCAGACACACTCTCTCTGTTTAAATCTAGATTAAAGACATCTCTTTGGCCAAGCATTCAAATAATGCATCTCATAATCTTGTACTGCAGTTATATCTGATCAAATGCACATTATTATTCTTTAGTTTGGGTTAAACAAATCAATTTTGCTTGGTTGGAACAGCAGCTACGCTAATTATGTCTCTATTTTGTTTCTCTGTTTTTGCCACGGGATTGACATCCCCACAAGCTTCAGTCTGGATCCAGAACACCTGAGAAGAGATGATGCCAACCCCTCAGAGGACCTCAGATGATGCCAACCCTGAAACAACATGCAGAACTACCACATTTTGCTATAAGTTTGATTGCATCATATGATAATTGCTGTTAATAGTGTTCATCGTCTGTTTGATTACGTCTTTAATTGATTTTCCGTACATTTCTGCCATATGTACATTAACTGACAGTCACCACTGATAAGCTACCACTAAATATTGTAGAAACTTAATTTGCTGTAAAGTTGCTTTGCAACAATTTGTATCGTGAAAAGCGCTATACAAATAAACTTTAATTTAATTGAATTAAGCAAAGATAAAGAGTTTAGAAATAATGCCGAGGAGTGTTAAGTTATTTTTATTACAGCAAATCAGCTAACCAAAGGTGTGCAGTATTTGCTTTTACATTTTAACATTCAATATGAAAATGTATGTTGCGCAAAGTCTGTATGGTTACATTTAGGCAGAAAACCTGAACCTACAGAGTTCCACTGAATCAATGCTAACATTATCATTTGAATCTGGGCATCAGGTTTTTGTTGTTGTTGTTCAAGTATACAGGTGTGCGGGATTACTCACGGGCTGCCGGATGACACTGAGGCCATTTTTCCAGAGAAGTAGTCTTAACTGTTGTAAGAAGGAGGCCATCAGAGGAGAGGTGCTGATAGAAATGAAAAACAAGAGTAAAATTCAGTTTTAAAAAGTAGAAATAAAAATCAGTAATTCCAGCATAGATTCAGACCTAGACAACAAGTATTTATTTGGCAAAATTTATATTATATTATATTATATTATATTATATTATTATGTTTAGCAAAAGTGGGACCTCAGGTAACAATTAGACAATTAAAGTTTCATAATCAGTTGCACTTTAATATCAAGAAGCAATCAAACATAAAATTCATTAATAATTAATTACCACAAAGGTATGTATCATTCTGAAAAATGTTTTAATTGAAAACTTCATAGTAAATGTTTGAATGCTTTTTATTGAGTACATCTTACATCCACTGTTAAATAAGAATGCTGTTCTTTAGCCCTATACTGTATAAAGTCAACAACATGTAAGCATGTATTGTTGCCATTATAATTATTTGTGATGGTCTGCTTTAGTCACTTAACATGTCAGACAGTGTAGGACAGTAGCTTTTACAGTAGGTAAAGTAGGGCACACGTTATGATAATTAATCATTGTACTATTAAAAGCTAACCATTAGTGTTGGGCGATATGGTAATTTTTTTATGGTCATTTTCAAATAATCCGATAGACGATATTATCGTGCATGGGTGGGTGGGGGCAAGAGAGAGACTCCCTGTACTTGTCATAGGCTATTTCATAACTATTTGGTGTTTTCTATAAAGTATTTAAAACAGGTAAGTTCATATATTCGGAGTAAAAAAAATATTCTCGTCTTCAACTTGTTCAAAATGCAGCCGCTCGATTGTGAACTGGAACAAGGAAGAGGGAACATATACTGAACAAAATTATAAACGCAACACTTTTGTTTTTGCCCCCATCCAGTGTTGATCTCCCAGTTAAATATCGTATCCATTTTAAAACATTATTGTTTGCTTATAAGGGTTTCCATGGACTGGCTCCATCATATATCTCCGATCTCCTTCTGTTCCATTGTAATGCCTCCAGGGAACTTCAATCAACTAGTAGTCTTCAGTTGACTGTTCCAAGGACACACTTGAAATCGAAAGGAGATCGTGCCTTTTCAGTGGCTGCTCCACAGCTATGGAACAAGTTGCCACCCTATATAAGAACTGCACCAACATATGCTGATTTTAAGTCTCTTCTTAAAACTTATTTATTTACTGTTGCTTATGGTCATAAGTAAGTGCAGTGGCATAACTGTAGTGTACTATCTGTCGCTGTGTTCTATGTTTACTTTTGTATTTT